AGGGTCTCCTGTCTAGGCAGGGGGTTGGACTAGAAGACCTCCAAGGTCCCTTCCAACTCTGCTGTTGTATTGTATTGTATATATGGGTCTTATTCCACAGTGTTCCCATTGCACTACTGTAGTGAAATACGGCAACAGGGAATAACCATTTGCAGCATGCCCTAAGGATTCTTTGAATGTGCAGAAGGGATGTTTAAAAATATTAGAGTGGGGTTTTTTTTTGGTTAAATGATGTGATCTGTTAAAATGGAATTTGCACAGATGGAAATATGATTCACAGCTCCTACAACTTCAGTCTGTAATTAACTCAAAATTACTTATAAAAATTCATGTTTGAGAAAATGTAGGTGTATATATATATATATATATATATATATGTATGTATGTATGTATGTATGTATGTATGTATGTATGTACACACACACACACACATACATACAAGAGAAAATTTGTATGACAATTGTTGTGATTTGGGGAGTGTTAAAACTGGATCAATATAAATGTGCAGATCCCAATTATGTATTACAATGGCACACAGATTGTGCAGTGAACAAGATTACTTATTGCTGGTTATTGTCTACAGGTTGGACAAAATAGGTAAGATGAAAGTCACAGCATCACAATCAGAGTCAAGTGTGCAATGTCAGTATACATTGCTATGACTGATAGGAATCTAGGCCATATTGAACTTACTGGCTGTAAATTTTTTTAGATTCTACTCCAGTAACAGCAATGTCAACTTGCAGATCACGTGACTGCATCAAGGATATTTCTGAATGGGGATTAAAATTGTGGAGGTTTAGGCATGATAAGGCAACAGTCTTGTCTGCAGTGTACTTTCGATGAATAAATTAACTCTATGAATTATTCGATTCTAGCTCTATATTAAGAACTTTTTATATGTGATTGTTCTGTGATGGCAGAGAGATATCATCCATTCATGGGTTTGAAAATGGGAGAAGGAGGATTCTAAATTTATTCAGGAAATATGTTCTACGTGATAGGTTAATGTTATTATCCTAAAAACAATGAATGTTACTATTTAGGGATTGAGCCAATAATTTCTAATTACAGCTGAGCCAGGGAGACATAATATAGAAAACTGATCAGTATCAGTAAAAAAGCTCACAATTTAAAATCTCAAAATATAACTTAATTATATCATAATGTTCTATTTTTTCAGATATTTTAAGTTCATAACAATCTCAGTACTGTATATTAAACCCACTTTAAAATAATTGCATCAAAGAGGACAATTAACTGCCAAAAATTAGGAAAATAAAACTTTAGCTTATTTAACATAGTAAACACCAAGCAAATATTGCTGAACTGAGAATTTTATAATGAAGGACCGACTATGTAAAATATAGTTATTATTTACTTTTTGATTATATATATTAGAAGAAATACAACAATGGTAGAGTTAATATTTTTTTCATTATCTGTTTTTTTAATTAGGCATAACTTAGGTGATTTGGTGTCCTTAAAGTAGAGTAATAACAATTGCATGAACCGAACGCTTAGCTTTAAGACATTAAAATCAATAAAATAATTTTGTTGGATTTAGTTAAGGTCTGTCTGATCCATTATCCTGAAACCCCATAGCCAAAATCTTTCATATGTCCGTTGTTTCTTGGAATAAATTATTGGAACAAATACATTTTTCTGTTTACTTTGTTCTCCTTCCCATGCTATATTCAAGAAATATCAAGAAAAAAAGTTATTTTCTTTTGATAATGAAATCATTTGGGGATTGGAGGCAAAATAAAGTACTAACATCAGCACAGTAGAGCGGCCCCAACATTTGAAAAAGTATCAAAATAAACTGCAGCCCAAGGAAGACTGCTTAATGATAACTGAATACTGCGTTTTTGCGGGGGGGGGGGAGAGAGATCAGAAACGTAACACCTGATATATAGGGCTGGCTACCTGGAAGATTGAATAGGAACAGTTTAGTACTCTACACAGCTCTTCCTTCCTCCCTCCCTCCAAATTTATTTCAGTGTTATAACCCACATCAATCCCAAAAGATTTTCCAAGAGTAACATCTATACAACTCTTTGTCTTCTGAATTTGCACATTTCTTCCCTCAAATGAAGAGTAACAGGCTTCTCTGGCTTCTATACTTCATGTATTTACCAAGAGGTGGCACTGTATTTACATGTATTCTTCAAGAAACTATATATTATAAGCCTATTTTTTGAACATTTTCAAAGAAGCTGTATGGATTCTTATTTACAAATTCTCTTTTACCCTCCAAAGCAATTTATGTTTCAAGGATCCTTATGTTGCAAAGATCTATCTAAAATGAATTTGGGGCTAAATGATCTGGAATCTTTGAACTGTGCTATCTATGACTTCCCAAGGAAATTTATAAGAGCTTGCAGTACTTTATTTGAAGATATGTAATACAGTGTTAGTTTACATCAGCTTCTAAGAAATTGAAGGTATGAAATCTGAATACATTTTCTAAAGATGTTTAACCCATACCAAGACTATATAATTGGAGGGTTTGTATATTGTTGAAACACAACTCCTAATCGAGTTGTGCATCTATCAATAAACTATCATCAGAGAACTAAAGCTCACAAACATAAAATACTACAAGACTCTGTTTTCTGTGAAACAAGGGATCTGGAATATATCTAACCTAAAATAATTTATTCTGGTTAAGAAATTAGTAAGGAAACAGTGGAAGGAAAGATAAGATGCTTAAGCCATTGGTTTAGGTTCTATATGAGACAAAAACTCCCTTCAACTTGAGTTTGTCCCTTTGACTTATCTATAATAAAATACCTTGCAATATTTGTATTTCATGGTCTATATGTTTTCTCCAGTCTCTTTTACCTGGAAGAAAATTGAACCCAAAGGGAAAGGGCCATGTCCTCGCCGTAGACAGTGCTGCTGTAGGGTAGGGGACAAGATCATCCTCTTTGGGGGCACCAGGTAAATAATATTTTATATTGCCTTTATTAATGTTCTGTTTAATCTGTAAATTTGAATAAAATGTTTCCTAGTCTTAAATAATGTAAAATTTGTGTATGTGAATCATATATACATTATTAATCATTGTAAAACATCTATGGAGTCTCTATCATACAATGGTTCTAAATCCTAGATATCCTAATGCATGCAAACTTCTAAGCCTATATATATTCATATATATATGAACCAGTTGTTCCTAATTTCATATCCTCCAGATATTTTACACTGTATTTCCCATCTTGAAATAGCTGAGTTGGATGGAAACAGTAGTTGTGAGGATCAAGAGAACATTGCATTTAAGAAGGCTGTTTTCAGGAACCCCCTAGATGTCATTTTCAGTAGCTAATACTTTGTGAAATAATAATTGTTCAAATACCTCTGGGATACAGTATATCAGACAGTATTAAAATGTCATTGTGATTGAGTGGTAGAATAGCTACCTATCCTGAAATGCCAAGATTTATAGACAAACTGAACATTTTTTAAAATTTATTCAGCTATAGCTTCATTCTGTGAATCAAATTCTTTGGAATAATTTGCTTTTTACACAGCGATCCTATAGCATACACTGTCTTCCTTTTATTTGAGGCAATATGGGGGGGGCTCCCCCCTAAAATGCAGCTTATCAATGTACTGTTACATCGGAGCACAATATTTTAGTCATCCTACTTATCAGAACTAATATGAATGTCACACTAGGGATGTATTTAAAATAATTTGGTTATCTTCTGTTGTGAATAGTGTCCATAACTTTGTCTTGAGTCATTTCTTAGGCAAATAGGCAATTTCTTCAAGATGGTCTTCCTGTGTTTGAGCTCACAACTTAACCTTTTAAATGTCTTTTCATTCTTGAATTTTACTGAAAAGGTCAAGTGATTCAAAGTCATTCAACATGCTCTGAATAAGATAATGGACTCTCATATAGAGTACATGCTTGATGCTGCTCCTGTATCAGCAAACATCTTCTTTCCTACATTGTGGACTGATTTTGAAAATTGGGTTAGCATTTCTGGTTCTGTGCTAGAGTATTTATACTAAAGCAAATAACTGTTATTTGCAAAACTGGGGTTTGTGACTACTCTGTTTTTCTATTACTTTTTCCCCTCCTTACCTTATCACACATCCCAGATCCTGAATTCAGATAAATCCTTGCTTAGAACTGTTTCAAGCTGTGTTTTTGATTTCTATAGCTGCCCATCTGAATAAATGAGACTAGTAGAAAAAAAAATCAAGCAATCTTTGACAAACCCAGTCTTAATCCAATTTAGTGAGTTTCTGGTTATTGCATGATATCTGTTTAAAAACAAACTAAAGATCTTGATTTTTTCCAATTTATATAAGCAGCGTGCTCTAAATTCTTCACTGAAACTGTCCAGTTTCTGGATTCATCATTCTGTCTCTCATACCAAGAAACCTAAGTGAATATGTGTTTCTGTTTGCATGTGTATATACATAAGTGTATGGCTGGAATTATTGTGAAATCACCTGGTTCTAAAAATGGCACCATTAGTATATTGGTTCCCTCCTGTAATTGCTTTTCATATTTTTGAAAACATTCATACACTACATGTTGAAAATGGATGCTAGCAATTTATTTGGTTTTTTATGTTATGGAATTCAGTGGATGGTTATCGTTCTAAGAGATGTACTTCAAGAGGCAAGACATGGTTCTTTTTGTAACATATCTTGTTCAGTTAGAGAGAGAATTGATAGGCTTATAGTTTTCTAATACTATTTTAGAGTTTTGAGTTGACAGAATGTCAATTTCAGGTTGGTGTGCATGTGCATTAAAAGATGGAAATGGAATGAAAATGATGCTGTATGGAAGAACCTAGGATGTGGGGCAGAATTATTTTACCCCGTTTTTTTCTTTGTTTTTCAGAAAAACAATGATCCTTTCAAATGAAATTCATTTTGCTTTTCTATTTTTTTGTAACTTTTTATTTTATGTTATTTAAAATAAATATACAGCTGCCCGTTTTCTGACCAACTCTGAGCAGCTCCCAATCAAAGTTAAAAATATATACTGCCATTTTCTGAATTATTAGCTTCTGAAATTTTCTTTTGCAAATTTAGACATGAAGATATTTCATAATATTTAGTTGCAAAATGAGATATACCATTTTCAGTTATATCCAGTACTGTGAACTATTCTGGTACAGTGGTTTTTCTTTCCCATCTTCATTTTTTAAAAAAAATTAATCGTGCTTGTACATTGTTAATACTTGCAACTCATCATGGTTTACACTAAGCCATTTAAATAATAGAATATAATTAAAACCATAAATAATAACATAAAATGTATGCTTATTCTTAAAGAATAAGCAAATACAAATACTGTACATTGCTGCAGCTATCAAGCAACACTAATTGTTGATTACCCTGTGGAAAAGTTTGTTGGCAACTTTGGAAAGGGATTCGCACCAACCCGTTGTTCAAGGGGAAGGCTATTCAACAAGGTCAAGTTCACCAAAGAGAAAGCTCCTTCTCTCTCTCTATCCCCCACTCATTTTTTTCATTTCTTACATTTCTTTCCTTTCTTACATTTCTTTTGTATCTGGAGAACATTCAGCATCCTTTACCAGGGAAAATATACAGGATGAGTCATTCCTATCTCATTTCTAAGCCATTTTGGTATACTTGTAAACCACCCAGAGTCACACAAGTGTAATTGGCAAATATAAAAAATTGGCAAATATCTAAGTAAGGAGAAAGGCTCTAAATGCCAAAAAAAGCATTTGGAATCCACCTCAGAAATTATTAGCCAATGCAGCACTGCAGTATATCTGTCTCATGGCTATAATGGTTCTTACTGTCAGCATATGGGAACTATATTCTGCACCATTTGCAGCTTATAAGTAATATGCCAAGCAGCAATTCCATGTCAAGGGCATTGTGGTAGTCTTCCCTAGTGGTGATTTATTTATAAATTTTATTGGCTGCCCATCTTACCTCAGGATAACGCTGAGCAGCTTATAATTTCTGTTGCCAGAAATTGCAGTTGGCAAACTAGTCAAAACTAGCTATTTTTCAACCTCCTTGTACTTGGACTTAATTTTCATAAATGTTAATCATACCTATATTTCATGGAGTATTTCCTATTAATAGATAATAGCAGTGTACTTTTGAAAATTTTGGCTAGTATGCCATAATCATACCTTGAATCCACTTCTATGCCGTATACATTCATGCTATTTTATACAATCTAGGATCTCAAATCTAAAAAGTGTCTTGCAATCCAGTGTAACGTTGCCAACACTCATCCACTAGGAGATAAATATGATGCTCTGAATCATACTTAAGAACACCTACACAGATTGGGAAAATTTCTACTTCATAAAAGTGAAATGCAAAATTCAGCTTAAGGTTTTTTTCACTCACTTCATACTGTATATACTCAAGTATAAGCCTAGTTTTTCAGCCCACTTTTTGAGCTGAAAAAAGCCGCCTCGGCTTATACTCGAGTCAGTGAAAAATTTGCCCGAAATGGAGGAGAAAAAGGGGCGGGGCCATGCCGCTGGGTGACGCTCGTGAATGGCCCGGCGCCCTTGTGAGTTTCCCCTCCCTCTGTGTCAGTTTGCCGCGCAGCGTGCACCGCACCATCCCCCCTCCTCACGTTCTAATGTAATGCAGGGCTGTCTTACGATTCCCCTTCCTCCCCCTCCTGCCGCTCTGCAACGATGTCCCACCTCCTCCTTGTTATGGCAAGCAGCCACATAGCGATGTCCCACCTCCTCTGGTACAGTGATCCAATGATAGGAATCACTGTGCCGTGTGTCATAGGAGGCGGGACATCATCATCACAGCGGGACATCAGCATCATGAGGTGAGTGAAGTATTTCATTGAATACACCGGTATTGTGTGATAATAATTTGTTATACAGAGCAAATTTTTACAACGGCTACTGTATATTTAATGGGCACAGGCAGGCTGTATATGTTATTCAATGGGCAATGGCATTATTGGTATCTATTTTTATTTTTGAAATTTATCGGTAGCTGCTGCATTTCCCACCCTAGGCTTATACTCGAGTCAATAACTTTTCCAGTTTTTTGTGGTAAAATTAGGTGCCTCGGCTTATATTCGGGTCGGCCTATACTCGAGTATATACGGTATATTTTCTTTTACTCCTTTCTTTAGAGTACCTCTTAGTACTTCATTCTAATCTGGCAGGAAGAAAACATTAACTCCTGAAAACAGAAAGGACCATTTTCAAAGTACAAATGGGCAATGAAGATAAAGATATGTGGGAAAGGGAAGGTGGTGTTAAATTGCTAAAAAAGCTATGTGGGCTGCAGGGTACTCATAGGTAATATAAACAGTAGATATCTGTATTCTTGTCTTATTTCCTGTTTTGACATTTTTCTCTTTTTGGTGAATGCTATTGACTGCCTGGGGCTTTTCATACAACTTGCACATTTCCCATACTTTAAGGAATAGGTTTCATTCCAGCTCTAATAAAACCAATGAGTCTCATTCCACCCTTATTATATGATATTCATGTGTGGTAGTGGTTTAAGGTACTGCTTTTCAAATACAGGTAATCCTCAACTTACAACAGTTCATTTAGTCACCGTTCAAAATTACATAACAACTGAAAAATGGAACTTATGACTGTTTTTCACAGTTATGACCTTTACAGCATCCCCATGATCATGTGATCAGATTTCAGATGCTTAACAACTGGTTCATATTTATGACTTGCTGTGTCCCAAGGTCACATGATCTCTTTTTGCAACCTTCTGACAAGCAAAGTCAATGGGGAAGTCAGATTCACTTAACAACCAGGTTACTAACTTACCAATTGCAGTGATTCACTTAAACAACTATGGCAAGAAAAGTTGTAAAATTCGGTAAAACATGTCTCACTTAACAACATAAATTTTGGGCTCAATTGTGGTTGTAAGTTGAGGACTACCTGTATACACATTTTTTTAAAAATCCTAAGGAAACAAATTAA